AATATCTGAATACCGTCCTGTAGCCGCGACCCGCGACATCACCGAATGGTACAAGGTCACTGGCTCAACCCTACGACAGAACTGGGTCGGGGTCAGTGTGTCAGGTCAGTATGCAACCTTCAACCGACCGTTACGGTCACGCGTGTAGAGGTAAACGAACCCGTATAATCGATTGCGTTTAAAAAAAAAATAATAATTGCACATTCATACACCAATAATGAACTCGTTGATATGTTGTTAATTTATGGCGAATGTCTTCAAAATGCTACAGAGGCTTCGCGAGTGTATGCAGATCGTTTCCCTAGACGACATCATCCAAGGCCCCGCAGATTTGTGTTCCTGGTCCAGAGAGTCAGGGATACGGGCCATCTGGAGGAATTTCGAGATGGGCACAGTGGGAGGCCTAGACAACCACGAATGGTGCAAGTTGAGGAAGAACTACTGAATCGCGTAGACGAGAATCCCTCAACAAGCACTAGAGACGTGGCTAGATAAGTGCAAGTATCACAAACTAAAGTGTGGCAAACGCTGCGTGAAGAGGGGCTGTATCCGTTTCACGTCCAACGTGTACAAGCACTTCAACCTGACCATTCTCCAGCAAGAGTGCGGTTTTGTGAGTGGTTATTGCATCAACATGACAATAATCCGGGCTTTTTGAAGTGCATATTGGTGACAGACGAATCGACGTTCACGCGTAATGGGGTGAATAACTTTCGCAACACTCATGTTTGGTCAGTAGAAAATCCGCACGCTGTCCGTCGGGCACATTTTCAACAAACATTTTCGGTGAATGTTTGGGCTGGCATGGTGAACGGTATGCTCATTGGACCATTTATTCTCCCAAATCGATTGGACGGGATGCAATACCTAGACTTTTTACGCAACATTTTGCCTTCCTTGTTAGAAGATGTGCTATTAAGTGTAAGACAATCAATGTGGTTTCTGCACCATGGTGCACCGCCCGATTTTAGACGCGAAGTGCGTGAGATTTTGAATGAATTATTTCCGAATAGGTGGATCGGACGTAATGGACCCGTAGCGTGGCCTCCGCGATCTCCAGACTTAACACCATGTGATTTTTTTCTTTGGGGAGAAATGAAACGCTTAGTGTACAAAACTGAAGTGCATACGGTTGACGAAATTCGTCTCAGATTTGAACAAGCTGGTGCTTTCATTCGGGGGAGGGACTCCACTCTCAAAGCCTGCACCGATGCTTGGCTACGTCGTGCACGCACCTGTGTTTTTGAATCAAACGGCGATAACTTTGAACAATCCCTATAAAGTACGTTTACCTAAAAACTGAAAACGCGGCAACGCCTTCATATTTGTTACCTCTGTTCGTGGTCTGCACCACCGCCTGCGTCTGCTCGGTAGCGCATCAGCTGATTTCATTTTCTGTTGGAGCGGTATGATATCGGGCAGAGAGGTACTTAGCCCTTCTCGTCAACTGGAGAGTGAGTACTGCTTCCTTTATTTTTTTTACTTGGTCGCCCTCGTTTCACTACACATTACCTTTGTTATTTCAAGGGTAGTTGTTTCTGAAAAGGACAACCCCAACTTTGCGGACACCCTGTATTTTACGAGTATAAGCAGCAAATAAAATGCCTTATTGCAAGAAAACCGTGGGTGACAGAAAAAATCAAATGCCATTTCCGGCTTTTTGGGTACGTTTTACATAATAACCACCTTGTATTGTCCATGTCACAAAAAAATATTTTAATTTTTTTCAACAGTGTTATTTTCTCTGATTCTTTGGAAAGAACTAGTAATAGGCTAATAGTTCTACGATGCCAACTAGATGGCCTTGTGGTTCTTTTTCCCTTGTTGATTGGTGCTTGAAGCTTTAAACGTCACACACCATCCGCCCAGCATTGCGGATGCATCCGGAACCACCCGGCATCAATCACAATTAATCCGGGTGGGCGAAACATCGCGCAATATCAGTCGGTCGTAATTTGATCAGAGCCCGACACGGGCCTGACAATTATGAAATTACATTGCTCAGTGAGACGCGGCAGATACGTGCGGGCGGCGCGGCGCTACCCACCGCGTCCAATGACGCTAATAAATTAGGACGGTGTCAGTCGGACTTAGCGCGACGCCGCTACCGCGCGGCGTTGACATGAAAAACGACGCGGGACGTGACAGACGCCAGAGCCGAGTTATTTTTGGCAGCCGGAAAACCGCAACATGAAAATTTCGTTACGCGGCGCTCGGACAGGGATTCCACGTCAACGCGACACCAGCTCCAGTTAACGGCCAGATTAATTGTTTGTCCATTCGTTTTTATGTTGCTGTACGGAGGATTACGTTTGCGACGTGGCAGACAACCTACACACAACAGTGATGTTAGCCGTTTAACCGCCAAATGTTAATTTTCTCTGTCTAAATTTTATTCAAAGATTCATAAATGTGATTTCTATCCATCGAAGTGAACTGTTATAACTATTTTAAACTGTGACCCGTGAACTTTCCGATGCTCTTTAATAATGGCATGCATTTTGGGAACCCCGGTGGGGTGTCATTTATTACTTCCATCTTTTATTTATTTATATACAGTTGGGGGTGTTAACAGGTAAACCCAACACACACCCTCAGTGAACTAAAACTAAACTTACATAAAATATCGTATACATATACATATATTACATTATTGAATACTTTAATATTATTATAAATATTATTTTTTCTTCATATCTTTACGAAGAAAAATGATGAAAGAAGGAACGTGTTGGCCAGCTGCTCTACAGCACATTATCGTGATTGACAAAGATCCCCGCTCTGCTGACGTGATAGCCCGAATTTGATTTTTGCTTTTTTCCCAAATTTCACTTTAATAATTGACTATTGACACTATTGTTAAAAGTATACATAAAATTAAATCAAATTCTAGTGGTTCAGATGGAATAACTTTGCATAAGGTATGTATATAGGTATGTATATCTGAAATTGATGTGTACTTAACACATACTACCTGTCAGGAGAGGGGATATTTCCCCAATTAGAGGAAACGTGCTATAGTTGTTCCGCTACCTAAGTGTTCTAATCCTACTAACTATGGTAAACTGAGACCAATCAGTCTACTGCCGATTTTTTCTTAAGTATTGGAACGCATTGTTTACGAGCAGCTCTGCGCCTACTCATATTCTAACAAAATGATTCCATCTAAACAATTTGGATTTCGACAAGGTCTTAATACAGCTTCGGCACTCTGTGATTTAACAGACAATATAACATTGGCACTTGATAACCAAAAAGCAGTATCTCACATACTTCTTGACTTTACTAAGGCATTTGACACCATTGACTACTCACTTCTTGTGTCTAAATGCAGTTAACATGGATTTTCTGAAAAACCTCTTTCGTTTATTCAAACCTACCTTGTAAATCGGTATCAAAAAGTTCGTCTAAGTCAACAGTACTCTACCGAACAAAAAATTTGTTCTGGTGTACCACAGGGATCAGTCATAGGACCCCTATTATTTTCATTATATATCTCAGATTTAGAAACAGAGGTAAAATCATGCAGCATACAATTTTTCGCAGACGATACTCAAATTTTCTATTCATTTAGGAGTAATGACTTGGAGACAGCAAATAATAAAATTAGTCAAGATCTTGCCCAAATTGAAAAGTTCAGTAGTAGTCATAATCTTCGTTTGAACCCTTTGAAGACAAATGTTGGTATACGCAAATAGATCAAAAAAGAATACATTAACAAGCGACATAGACATACATTTAATTAGTTCCTGTGGATCATTCGAAGAACCTAGGTATTATAATGGATGATGACTTAAAATTTGTTATACACGTAACTTATCTAATTTCTCAGTGCTACGCTATTCTCAGAGTTTTATTTGCAAATAAGGCTATATTACATAAATCTGCGAGAAAGCAATTGTTTGAATCTTTCTTGTTTTTAAAGATATCGTATTGCTTAGTGGTTTACTATCCCTATTTAGATATTATAGCAAGAAATCGTAATCAAAGTATTATGAATACATGTTGCAGACCTGTAAATGGTGTCAGAAAATGGATGAAGATTGATAAAATGTATAAGTACCAGCTCCTAAATCTGACTCATACAGTTCTCTATTCAAGAACACCGTCATATTTAGTAAACAAATTCATACGTAGAGGGAATATGCATGGCATTAATATTAGATATAGAGAGACTTTTTCAGTTCCACGCCACAGCACATCTCTATTTCAGAATACATATATTTACAATACGATCAAATCATATAATTCTTTAGACCCCAGCTTATAAGAAACCAATCGATTACCCAAACTCAAGAAAAAAGAGAAAGAAGTACTTGATCAGCAGCGAAATCTGTTGTAACCCATAAGTGGCCTCAAATTTTCGTTATGCCTTTACTTAGATTATACTTTATTCTATCGTTATTGTATACAGGTATTAATTTTCAACAAATTCTGCTTTTTTTACATCTCGGATTGTTAAATACATTATACTTTATTCTGTCGTTATTGTATACAGGTATTAATTTTCAACAAATTCCGTTTTTTTACATCTGGTATTGATAAGGGGGTTAGATGGTAGAATAGATGTATTATCTTAATCTCGCTTCCTATAAGAATATTACAAATAAAAGACGTTAATTACTATTGTTAGTACTGTTTGCGTTGGACTATAGTTAACCTGGTTTCGTCGCAATTAAAAAGACTTGTTGGTTTCTGCTGTTTCTAGTTCAAATATATCGAAATATCCATTAAGAGTTTCTCTAGTAAACGATTTAATACGTGCATATGAAATTTCTTGGGGCATTCTAAAGGAGAGTTCTTTTTGTCATGCCACACAAGCAGAAAACCATTTTTATCCAGCACACTCCTTCACTGCATTAAAGAGGTTTTAACTTTATTAGCTTCACATAAACCAAAAGCAAGTCTGCATACATCTTTTTTTTTGTAATACCGAAGAAATTTCTTTTCATGTCCAAACAATGTTTCTTCCCAAATTAGAATTTGCACCGTCTTCAGGCTTTCCTGCCTTTTCAACCTACCTTTTCAACATCGCTTGAGGTACGTTATGGACTTTTGCACTCCTTTGGTCCCCATTCTTCCTTCTCGGCCAGCAAAGATAGCTGAAATCATTTGGTCTCTATCACACGATTTTCGTCTGTTCGGCATCTGCAAAGAATTTAGTGATGTAGACACAAAAATCAAGTTTATTTAACAAACTTACTAATCACAAATTGTAAAAAAGTATCCTAATGTGGGGTACCCCAAATTGAGAACCCACATCTACCCCATATTACGGGCTAGCTATGATAGGATATTTCGCATTTTGACAAAAAAAACTGTTATTGTTTACATCAAAACTAAATAGGCATCCAAAAACTAGACAAGATTTAGCATTAAATGAAATAAAAACTAACTAAAATACTTACCTTTAGGCCTGAGTAAGCCGGCAATAAACAACGTGTACAAGACACTTCTACTCTCAAACAAAACGCTGGCCACGACAACTATGTGTTAATCATGCCGAAGGTTATGCTAATTCCCCACTAAAACTATTATAGTAAACTGGAAAACAATCTACCCCGCATCAGGAATTACCCCCATTTTATGCGATTTTCCTCTATTTCCACCTGATAGTATGGAAATTACATAACTAACACGCGTTTATATGCTTAGCCTGTATTTATGTATGTATGTACAGTAATGGACAAAATTATATAGACAAATATGAATATTTACCTTTTACCTAAATACATTTTACATAAACAAATGCGTTATTAGTAGAAAAACTAAATTCCTTGTTTTTTACATGATCTGCAATGAATACAATACAAATCTAAATATAAGCACTTTTTCATCGAAAAAAATATGTAGATAATTTCTTTTCAGCATTAGTTTAGTAGAGTTTCATGTCAGAAGAGGATTAGTTTGTGTTCTTCAAGTATTGTGGAATAAGTTGAGCGATTTTAAGACCATACCGCGTGATCCAGAAATTTCTTTCGATGTGAAAACTAAGATCATTGAGTTATACAAAGATGGTCAACGTAAAGTCGACATTGCCAAAAATTTGAAGCTGAAGCGTAAAGCAGTTTGGGTAATATTCAACAAATATAAACAAAGAGGTATCTTGGAATCTTGGATCTAAGAGAAGTGGTCGGCCTAGAAAGCTGAATGCTAGATCAGTTAGATTAATAGAAGTAATTTCGTCCAAATATCCTTTTAAAACCCCAAGACAAATCGAGACAAAAGGAATTGTCAGTGTTTCTACGAAAACTATAAGTAGAAGATTAAATGATTTGAAGTTATCTTCCAGCAAAACAATGACCCGAAGCACACTTCAAATCTCGCAAAGAAATTCTTATTGGATGAAAAAATACCAGTTCTCAAATGGCCTTCACAGTTTCCCGATATAAACCCCATTGAAAATCTATGGAAATACTTAGATAAGCAAATACGAGATAAAAATTATTGCCGCTTCAGAGCAAAAGTGGAGATAGATTGATGAATCTTATATCAAGAAACTTCTACAGTCTATGCCGAGACGATGCCAGGCGGTGAATGATAATAATAATGGTTATGCTACAAAATATTAACACAAACATGGTTGGTTTTCTATAATTCAAAGAACTTTGCTTCTTTTTTCTATAATTGTCTTGCTTTGTCTATATATTTTTGTCCTTCATAGTTCCAGTTTTTTTCGATTAATTTTTTATTGAAGGAAGTCTAATGAATGTATTTAATAAGTGAGTACTATGCTATAACGAATTATGTATACAGGTTGGTCTATCAATAAAACAAGTTAAAAAAGAAATTCAGCACAATATTAATTTGTCTATATACTTTTGTCCATTACTGTGTGTAACGGAATCTTTGAGCATAATTTTCACCAATTTCCAGAAGTTTGATTAATCTGAAACATCGCACACGTAACAAGGACCGATGACAACGCAACAATTTGATAACAGTTTTCTTCTAGGACAGCCAGGATTGATAAATTCTTTTATAGATCCACTGCAGGGGAGCAAGAGAGATAACGCTAGCGCGCGATCTACGCAGGTGTGCATATTCGGACTTACTCTTTATTAGTTCGGACACTCGCCACAGCACAACGAAAGCAGATATTTTTTCAAGGTAGTGCATTCTCATCTTGTTCATTCCTTATACATGCGCAGGTACTAATGAGTCATGATACACGCGAATTACTGTTCATAATATTCATAAAATGTATTATATGATAATCGCGATTCACAAAAGGTTTCTATTTGTTGGTATCGATTTCGGACCAAATGGTGTGCGCATGATTAAACCGATATCAATACAGTTCCCAGCGAAATACAGCTATGGAACTGTTGAGAGATGAATGGTGCCATTAATCCTGAGTTGGCCTTCGACTGTCCACAAGATGCAAGGTTGTCGCACTTAGGGCCGATTTCACCAACATTAATATTATGGACCAATAGGAAAATAACTTATCGAAATGCAATTTGATGGAAGCTGTCAAAGGTCTCAGAATGTCAGTGATTTCTATTAAAATGTTGAATAAAGTCGTGAAAATTCGACTGTATTATAAACAGGACCACTTTTTGATTCCAACATGATGCTTTTGTACAGAGAAAACAGGACAAATTTCATGTATTTTGATTTATGTTATAGGTGTACATTTGACCATCCGTTATCCCCTCAACGAATGGGAATGGGAGAAATAATAGGTCGATTTTCTAGCTGTTAAATTTGGCAGCAGGTTTGGTCGTTTGTTAATTCATGGCAATCTCGAACTTTGTTAACTTCAATATACAGTGTGTATATGTGATCATTATAGCTACCCATGCCTGTTGAATTGTGCGGATTTTCAAGAAAATAGAATATAAAATGTATTCCAACCAATTCCTCATCTCTCTTTACATCATAATAGTAATCATTTGTTATAAATTCATGGGTTAATGAATTTCTTCAAAGCAATCAAAACAGTATGGTCGTCCCCATCCTAAAACACCGATATGTGTAAAATATGTTAATCCCTACATCTCCGAGGTGCATAATGCAATTACTGTAGACATAGACCTAAAATTATTAGTAATTACTGAAAAATAAGAGCTAAAAAGGATTATAAATAGTGATAAAATATCGGTGGTTAAGGTTTCTGACTGGTGACTGGTGGGGATACAATATAGGGATGGTGACGATAGACGATACATTGATGTATCAAAAACATCGATACATCGGACGTAGAACATCGATCTTTACGCATCGATGGTTTCATGACGATATATCGATATCGAGAGGAATCATAAACATCCGTAACCGTATACCCCGAGTCTATCCTTAACTGTGCTACCATCTCTAAGCGAGGACTGGTAGCCTCGAAATTGAAAGGCCAGAAAGCTATTTAGGTGTTTAGTAGTATTTGAATATTGTCATTACAGACGAGCACTGAGCCACTGAGTGGCCACTGAGCACTGTAGTCTCTTCTTCATTCTGTACTTCGTCAAGGGATAGAATAAAACAGACTGAAAGCAGCCCGTTTAATGATTTTCAGTTCTCAGAGAAAGATTTTCCCCTGCCGGCCCTTGACATCGTTTCGAAATATGAAATTTTGGAAACGCTATAAAAATAAAAATGAATACGCAAAGCCTTCTTACCTATTTCAGACAAAAACAAAAACAACTGCCACATAACGATTGTCACCTTGACATCATTCTGCAATCTGTCAAAGTAGTGATGGGCGTGCCTGCTGTACGGTATACGGTATCGATATTCGATAAAGTATTTTTCTTTCTACCATGAATGCGTGGAAAAAACAAAATAAGGAGAGATCTAAAATAAGGAGTTATTGAAGGCCTAAAATAGCAAGGCGCTAATAATTCCTGGCCGTATTTGAATATCTAAGCAGGCACAGTAAAACAAAAATAAGAATTAATGCAGGTTATAGGTTTGCTGGTAGCTCTACGACATATATTTGGGTATTTCTTAATCGCTGTGAATATAGTGTGGATGTAAGTTCCTGAACAACGAAAAATATTCAACTTTATGGATGTATGGATATTAAAAAACCAGAATGGTTTTGCGGGAATATCAATCTAAGGTGCCATAATGGTTCTGAGGTTCTGATGAACGGCAAGTAAATGAATGAATGTTTGGAAACGAGCAATATCTATGAACTGTTTGGTAGACCAGTCATCAAGTAGCTGCTTAATGGCTATCTGCAACAGGTTTATAGGAAAAAATACCCAGTAGATTATCTTGAATCAGTAAAATCGCATATCAATTGAAGAAAATAATATAAACGTGAATAAAAAATCAACAGTAGCGATTAAATCATGAATTTTATTCAAAAATCAAACACTTGTTTAAATTTTGACTGAATTATATGTAATTTCTTAATATTCAATAAGCTGATGATGTTTAAATGACAAGATGTCATCTCATAGTTTGACAGCATTTTGTTTTCAACATTTCATAGCTATTGGTTGCTAAAATTTGTTGATTGGAACTTGAAGCTGATTCGCTGTATTTGACGGGCTGTTACCCTATAGGTGGAGAATAACGGACTGTTGTTGGTAAAATCGGCCCTTAGTCGAAAAGATCTTTAGACGGTATTTGGATTGAAGAACTTGATTGCTCTTAGTTAACAGGAAAAACCCCACGCAACAGCGAAGCTTTAGATGAAAGGATTAGATTACGAAATGATTCGTAAGATATTTCAATATTATATGTCCACAAAAAAATTGATAAATCGAACTAAAAGATGAAGAATAAATAATAGTTTTAAAAAAAACGAAACAAAAAATATGCCTTTATAGCTAACCAAACTAAAAAGTAGAAAATAGCTATTATTTTCTATTTTTTAGTCCGGTTAGCTATAGAAGCGTATTTTTTTTAGTTTTTTAAACCATTATTTCTTTTAAAGATTTCATTCTCTAAGTGCCCATATTGATCAATACTTTATTTTGAGACCTGTGTATTTTTGGTGTGGTACGTTAATGGCTTTCCACCGTTTTTCTTGGGTACTGTAATGGTTTCAATTGACATTCAATATTCTTCGTAATATGTCATAATAAGGGAGATAAACATTTTCCAAAGCTTGACTTAAAAAATGAATCGCGTTCTTTTTGGTCTGACTTCAGCAGCGTTGGCTGCATCATCGAGAACCTGTTTTTTGAATTTTAACTGAATGAGCAAGAAAAAAAGGCCTTCGTTTCGTATGTCTGTATAGATAGTGATGTAGATCCGGCACAACTGGAGCGTTGCCACGCTTTCGCTTCCAGCTCATCTGTAGCCATCATGCCATAAACTTGTATAATCAACCACCTACTGTAAGAGAAGTTGCAATAAGATATATAGTTAATTAGCAGATAAACAGCTTACATTTTTTATAAAGCAATAACCTACGACATTCGGTCTTCAGGTGGAGACTTAATGCGCGTCGGCTAACCGCTATAAAACTAATAATAGAGATGGGCGAACAACATCGATGTTTAGAAATAGTATTTC